AGCCAGAGGAAGGGGTGGAGTGTTGTGTAGCAATTTCCTTTGAGATCAGATATTCTATCTTGGAGGAAAGCTCATTAAGACTCAGAATGCTCTAAAAGCAGGCTCCTTAAAAATGAAGGAGGGCCTGGAGAAATGGTTTAGTGGTTAGGTTGAGAGCACTTGCTGTTCTTCCAGAGGAACTGGGTTCCTTTCCCAGCACTTACATGGTAATTAACAATCTTCTGTAACTCCAGTTCCAGGGCATCTGATGCCCTCTTCTGGCCTTTAGAGGAACATCATGTATGTGGTGCACTTACATATATGTATGTAAAATATTCATGCATATAAAATACAAATAAGTAATTTTTTAAAGGCAATACCTCAAAAGCTTCAAGTAATCTCTAAAACTGAAAATACAGTAGACTCCTCCCTCCCCAAGCTTATATAAGCAGTAAAGACTGATGGGCACTCTCACAGAGGCTGAGCTACCTAGAAAAGTTACTCTCTTAATTTGTTAAGTTACCTACAATTCATTCAGTGTGCTCTGGGTTTCCAGTGCCCCTGAGCTGGAGTGGCCTTTTGGTGATGCAGCTGTCTTTAAGTCATTTCCACTCCCATGAATAACCTCTCACCCACACTCCTATAGGTAACCCCAATGAACTCATTGATTCACTAAGTTGGACTTCGGTAGGTAGTATCCTTGCTTTGGTCTGCTATTGATTTCCTATCTGGGGTGAGTAGACATTTGTTCAAGTCTCCCCAGGGATAATGTCACACAACAGAGACAGAACTCAGTACAGATCAAAGACCTGTGGCTTCCTCACTTTGTTTCTGAATACCCAAGAGTCAGCACCTGGAGAGTAGACCTAACTAAAATGGTTTTCTCATTCTTTTTCCATGTTCCCTCTCTGCTTGGGAAAGGCATGTCTGGAATCTAGGACAGTCTGAAGAAATCTGCTCCCTGCTTGCATCTTGCCTCACTTTTGACACCATTTACCTAAGGATCCCTCCAGATCCACAAGTTTCTAGAAGACCTGGGGAGCCTGAGGCTTCTGGGTGGAAACAAAGAATTGCACATGTAAGGCCTGGCTAGCTTCAGAATCTGAGGAGAGGCTTATCAAAGGGATCTTCTTTGATGAGGGAACTGACAGGAAATTATCAGCCCTGTGCCACAGACAGGGACAAAGACTAGAAGAGGCTCATTTGGGCCTCTTCTCTGTCTGGATTGGAAACAGCAGGAAGTAGAGGGACTGTTTTATTTCAGCTCCAGAGCAACCTTGAACCCTAGCTTCCTCCCTTGAAGAACGAGGCAAAGGAATGGTAAGGTGATTCAAGATCAACACCCAAACTTTTGACTGCTCTAAGGAACTGAATCTTTCCATGTACAAACTGTAGTGATAGTTACCTCTTTTTCTTCTTTTCTTCTTCTTTTAAAATCAGAACTGAAACCATACAATATTCCACCCAGGTGCTGTGTATGGATTTCGAAGACGTATTCTAACATAGTCACAAAAAATATTCCCCTCTGAAATGTGCACTCTGAGCTGTGTAGGTGTGCTTAAAATGCCAGGAACAGGAATGCCTGACTCTAGTTCCAAGGAGTTAATCACCTAAGAGAGTGAAAGGGGCAAATTAAATTGCCTTGTATGATTCACCAATGGAGTTGCCAAAATAGAACTTGCTGAATAGACCTTTGGTTATCTTTCCTTAAGAACCAGACTTTTAAAACCCCTTTATTTATTTGTGTATTTATTTATGTATTTATTGATTTGTGTAGTGTGTATATGTATGTAGCTATACCTATGTCAATGTGTGTGTGTGTTGTGTGTATGTGTGTGTGTGAGAGAGAGAGATAGATAGATAGAGAAAGAGAGAGAGAGAGAGAGAGAGAGAGAGAGAGAGAGATCAGAGGACAACTTTGGAATTTGATTTTCTTCTTTCACTATGTGTGTCGTGGGGAAGGAACTCAGGTCCTCAGGCTTGCCAGCAAGCACCTTTACTTGCAGAGTCATCTGCCTGCCCAAACTTTTGTTTTTTAAAATCATAATCCCTTTTTTAGCTCTAAAAGTACTTAGCAAAAGGTTTCCCCTTGGCATTTAGTCTGCAACTAAACTGGATTATTACTATTTCAGAATACCCTGAGAATCAATGTGAAAGAAATATATTTTGTCTTTTTATTATAATCCAAAGATTTTAGCAAATTTGGCGAGCCATCGCTGTTATCTGACTTAGAACGATTGATATGGTGCCTGTATCTATAAATTTGCCATTATATGTGGGTTTTTATCATGTTTTTTTAAGTTTATTCATATTGTAACAAGATTCAGTATTCCTTTCCTTTTTACTGTTGAGCGATATTCCCTTGAATGGATGTGTTTATCTAGGCCATTGTGACTGATGCTGCTTTGAGCATTCAGGTACCCCTCTTTATGTAGGCATATGTTTTCTCTTGTGTACAATCCTTGGTATAGCATTGCTGAGTTGTGCAGGACTACTGTTGCTCTGATTCAAGTATGTCAGTGGAAACCCAACAAGCAAAATTTAACTCAGTTTTAAAAATTCACTGATACCGTCGTTCATGGAGGGGATGGTCTAAAGAACACTGCTGTCATTTGATGAATTCTGAACAGAAGGCACAGGGCAACTTCCAGCTAAAGTCAGATCACAAGTGGAATAGCTCAGTCTGGGCTCTACCTCCAAACAGGAGTTTATGAGACTGGGACATTCCTCCTGGGGCAAGAAGAGTCCCACTCATCACAGACCCTGAGTATCTCTCTAGCAAGTAGTTAGACTGATGAGAGCTGCTGGTTCCCTTCCCTGTATTTCCACGTGGAAAGGATGCCAAAACACGGGGTTTGTATCCAAATCTGGGCAAAACCGTAACATCTCTGGGGGCGAGTTGGAGCCCCCCTCCCCCGCGCACCCCTGTGTAACTTCACTAGTAAGTGTAAGTGGATGGATAGCAGCACCCCGTCGTGTCGCTATGCTCCCAAGAGCGGGGACTTCCGGCGGTGGTTTGGAATGTGCCCAAAGGTTTGGGGCTTACAGTCCGCCGTGGTTGACAAAAGGACAAAGCCAAAGAGATCAAGAAGAAAGGCAAAGCAAGCAGCGGAAGGGGCTCAGGTCCCAGCACCATCAGGAGCAGGCTGAAGTTGCACTCTCCAGAGAAGCACAGGACACCCTCACAATGCCAGCTGCCACAAGACTTGCGTTGCAGTGGCGGTAGGAGGCCTGGCATTTTGGACACGATTTGAATGGGGGAAGATTGGAGTGGAGGAAGCAGAGAAACTAGTGAACTTGGTAGCTGGAAACTTAGCGCCCTCCCTCTCCCAGATGAAGAGTGGGCAATTTAAAGGCCACCTCCACATACAGAGTGGCAGACGCTTCTTTTCCCTGCAGGATGGTGGGACGGGGGTGGGAGAAGGCACTCAGAACCACAGGGATGGGGAGATGCCACCGAAAACGCGAGCGCAAAGCGGGTACTCCTGCAGGCTCGCTTGGAGTCTGGTCACTGGTCACGTTTCCAAGGCCGAATGGGAACCCCGGCATCTCTGAGCGCTCTGGGTCCCCAGGACTGGAAGCTATGAGAGCAGGGGTTCTGCCATCCTCTGCCCTCCCTGGGTACTCAAGTCCCCTCTCCGCATGGGGTCCCAGGCTTTCCCTTCCTTTAGGGGCGTCTTTCCCTGTAACTTCTCGTCCGGGTTACTCCCCTCTCGCTGTTCCGCCTCCTTTGCTGCGGTATCCAGCTTTTCTCTTGCTTCCAAATCCTTCTTTCCCGAGGGTCGCCGCTCCTCCGATTCAGTCCCAGCCCAGACCCTCCTAGAGGTTCTTCTCAGCCTCCACCCTTTAGAAACTCCACCTCTTCCCTCCCACCACCGCCCAGCCTGGAAACTTGGGCTAGCCCAGGGTTCCCATCGAGGCGCTGATCGAGGCTCCTGGCTCACAGGTTGGGTCCTCACACACAGCTCTGGGTACCAGCAGCGCCACGCCCAGTCCCTGCGGCTATTCCCACGACCCGGCCCCACGAGCCCTTTCTCCAGAAGACTACGCCAGAGAGGACAGGAAGCATACTGGGGTCTCCCACGTTGTAGTGGGTCCTCCTAGGAGAGGGGTAAACGCGAGATGGAGGCAGGGAGCGGGCAGTTCGTCTGATAGGCCCACCCTCCCGCACTCTCTGCGGTGACCAGTGGGGGAGGCAACAAGTGATACTAAGGGGCAGGGGTGGGGGGCTTGCTAGCATCTGGCTGGAACCGTATTGGCGGGGTTGACCTGGAGGAAGCTCTCCATGTGTCCCCCTCCAAGGCTTTGAGTGTGATGTTGAAGAAAACGGGAAAAAGCAGAAAAGCCCAAGTACGAATCCTCCTTCCCCGAGTCTCAGCGCTCGCGCCGCAAGCAGACTTTCCAAGTGATGGGTGTTGGGGCGCTGAGAGCTGGGGGGTTGGGCAGGAGCGGTCATCGTGCAGGGATTTTCAGAGGGTGGAGTGCTAAAGTGATAAAAAATTAGAATGCGCTCCCTAATTTGTGATAGCGTCCCCCACTTGGGCAATGCCTTCCATCCAATCCACCATCCAGCCGGCCAGGCGCGGCCCCTGCTTGACCACCTGGATCGGATTTGGGGAACGGAGGAAAATGGGGGCTCCCAACCCCTCTCCAGCTTCCCTCCTTCGCCCTCCCTGATTGGCTGTGCATCCCTGGAGCCCAACTTCAGTCGCTCCAGACTGTCTCAGCCCCCTCGGGAGTCGGAGCGCGGCGACCCGGGTCAGGAGGGGCGGCCACCTATCCCCGGGCTTGGCATCCCGCGGGCCCCGGGGGAGCGGGGAGGGGCGCGGACAGGGTTGGCCCCCGCCGCCTCTAGGCCCAAGTCGCGGCGTCTCGAAGCCTCGG